TAGAACTGGACATGGAACAACAGACTGGTTCCAAATAGGAAAAGGAGTATGTCAAGGCTGTATATTGTCACCCTGCTTATTTAACTTATATGCAGAGTACATCATGCAAAATGCTGGGCTGGATGAAGCACAAGTTGGAATCAAGATTGCTGGGAGAAATATCAATAACCTTGAATATACAGATGACACCACCCTTATGGCAGAAAGCAAAGAGGAACTGAAGAGCCTCTGGATGAAAATGAAAGAGGAGAATGAAAATGCTGGCTTAAAACTCAGCATTCAAAAAACTAAGATCACGGCATTCAATCCCATCACTTGATAGCAAATAGATGGGGAAACAATGGAAAGTGACAGATTTTATTTTCTTGCGCTGCTCAATCATGGTAGATGGTGACTGCAGCTATGAAATTAAAAGATGCTTGCTCCTTGGAAGGGAAGTTATGACCAACCTAGACAGCATATTAAAAAGCAGAGACATTACTTCGCCAACAAAGGACCATCTACTCAAAGCTATGGTTTTTCCAGTAGCCATGTATGGATGTGACAGTTGGACTATAAAGAAAGCTGAGCACAGAAGAATTGATGCTTTTAGACTGTGGTGTTGGAGAACACTCCTGAGAGTCCCTTGGACTGTAAGGAGATCAAACCAGTCAACCCTAAAGGAAATCAGTCCTGAATATTCATTGGAAAGACTGATGCTAAAGCTGAAACTCCAATACTTTGGCCACCTGATGCAAAGAACTGACTCATTTGAAAAGACCTTGATGCTGGAAAAGATTGAGGGGAGGAGAAGGAGACGACAGAGGATGAGATGGTTGGATGGCATCACTGACTCAATGGACATGAGTTTGAGCAAGCTCCAGGATTTGGTGATGGACAGGGAAGCCTGGCAGGCTGCAGTCCATGGGGTCGCAAAGCATCAGACACAACAGAGCGACTGAACTGAACTGTATGTTTATGTTGATTCTAATCTCCTAATTTATCCCTTCCCCCAAATTTCCCCTTTGGTAACTATAAGTTTGATTTCAAGATCTGTGTTTTGTTTTCATTTTGTAAATAGCTTCATTTGTATCATATTTTATTGACCTGTTGAAAACATTCCTTTTAAGATTTTATTTTTAAACCGTGTTTAGGTTTATGATTTGCAAAAACTGTTAAATAAAATAATAGGTGATGTAGCAGACTGCATTGTCCAAAGACAGCTGCAATAATATCAGTTTCGCGCTGACTCTTCTGCAATGTGATCTATTGAGTAATAGATCACCCAGAATGTGGGTGGGCCCTAACTCAGACTGCGTTAATGAATAAAATACAGGGGAAGCGATGATATGCCATTCCCAAGTGTAGCTTTTAACTTGTTTAGCTGCTTCTGTTTTCCGCCCTTCGGGACACTAGCTTTCAGGATGCTTCATCAAGGAGGTTGGCCACCGTGCAGGAAGTCCACGCCACAGAGAAAGGCCACATGGGGGTCCCTGTGTCAACAGATCTGAGCCGTCACAGCCAGCCAGTGTCAGCTACCAGCTGCGAGTGAGCCATCAGGCGCTGGCCCAGGGAGCCTTCAAACAACTCGATGTCATCTGCCGGCAACCACGTGAGAAACCAAAGGGAAAGCCCGAGCTTGAGCCCAGGCGACCCACAGAACCAGGAGAGACAGCAGTAGAGCGTTTTGGGGTGTTTGTTGCACAGTAGTAGATAACCATAGCAGGCATTGATTAAATACCATCAGCTTACGCCGGCCTCCCTGCTATTCACATGAAACATAGGAAAGTAAGTCATGTTCCCATGGTTTGGGCATGTAACATAAATCACTTATAAAGTGTCTTCCCTAGTCAGGAATCTTTTTTAGGGATTGTGAGTATGATTAGTTGGTTCTCACAGCTTTTAGGTTTTTATCTATAAAGTGAAACTTTCCTAAAATCTACTCTATTTCAGATGTTTATATAAAAAATAGAGTTTCTACCAGTGTTCCTAAGTTATTTTGCCCAAAAGCACTATTTAAACTCAAGGCTCTAACCAAGAGACACACACAGTGCATGCACAAGCTATTCTGTTAATCGATTTTCATGTCATTTGTTAATCAATCCTCATGCTACATAACAAATAATTTTCTAACAACATTCACAATCTTTCAAATGACCTATTTAAAACCAAAGCTTATGGTTGTGGCTATATGGCCAAAGTAAAATAGAAGGTAATAACAAATATTGAAATATTTTGAGCAAACCTACCTTTGCAAAAATTATTCTGTCTACCAGAATATAGCTAATTGTAGTGAGATGGTTATTTGAAGGAATTTGAACTTGAAAGTTTGATTCTGGCTTTGAGTTTCTAATTCATTATATGTGCACACAAATCAAGCATTTACTGAGGGTCCCTATCCTTGTTCCTTCACTTTTGACTAGCCTGAACTGCTATCATGAGTAACAACACTGATGTTCATGTTTTGCTGAGAGGAAGGGACTACAAAAATGTTCTTTTTATTCTAAGCCCTGTCTCCGACAGCAAGTGCTTCAAGGATTCTCTGACTGTGAGTTTCTGCAGAACAGCTGAAGGCACAGCAGAAAAGAAGATGACTAAGCTACTAAAATCCAGTGTGTAGGGAAATTCTAAGCCATACTATTTGGAAAAGTACTCCTAAATACTGGAAGATTAAGGATGGTGCAGATACCTACCAGAAATTAAAATGTCACATGATATAAAAGAGTCCATGAGACAAATTCATGTTTTCCTTATTTTAAAAAAGTATCTTTGTGAAGTGTAAATTAGAAAAAAAAAAAGAACTCACCACTTTCTATTTCCTCTTCATTGTCATCCTCTAAGATGTTCACTGGGGCAGCGGATTCTCCTGCCTCCATCATGCTTTTCAAAGCTTCAAGCTGTTCTGTTATTAAAATACAGAAGGAGATGGAGACAAGGGTTAGGTCCCTTATAAAACCGGCTTAAAGATGGACATGAAGAAGGATGAAAAGGGAAGAGAAACCTATTGCCCAGGCTCCCGAGGCGCAGCCATGGCCACTGTCTTTCCATTCCTGGTGGCCTTGACTCCTGAAGGCACGTACATCTATGCCATTATCTACACATGCTGACCAACTAGCGGAACATGTTGGTCTAGCGGATATGGGGGAATGCCCCATATCCTGGTCACCAGGCTGCAAAGTCACAGCTCAGTCCCTGAGAAGGATCTGAGGCTTGATACAAAACCCAGAATTTGTAGCATATGGCACAGACCATGGTTCATGGCAATTAGGTTAAGTGACATAAGGGAAACTGGAAAACTTCAGGAAAAAAATATTTGCAATTGATACAATCCAGTTATTATCCTAATGTATAAAAAACCCTCAAAGTCAATGAGATGAAGACACATGAAATAATTTTTAAATTGGGGAAATATAGGAGGGCAAATCATAAATAATAGGAAGAAACTAGTCATCAAAGACATACAATTAAAAAATTAAAGTGTTATTTTTCTTTTATTAGTTGTGAACATACATAAAAAATGCCCAATAGCCAGCACTAAAAATATTGCTGGGAAACAGGTGTTCTTCATGTATTATGGTGAACATATAAACTGGTACAACTTTTCTGAAAGACAGTACAATAAGATACATCATGATAAAAAATGTACACAGGCTTTGGCCAATCAACTCTAACTGTGCCAAGTGATTCCAAGGAGAAGGCTGCATAAATGTATAAAATTAACCTCCAAGCATGTTCACCATTGTTTTCATAACAATGAAAATCTATCAACTTGGGACTGGTTAAATTACACTATATTCCACATAATAAATGCTATATAGTGTTTCATACACTAGAATTTTAGAAATGTTTTAGATATTAGAATTAAAATTAGTATATAGATTTATATCTTACTGGATAAAACAATACTTAATTGGTTGAATTAAAACTGACCAACAGTTAGTATATTTAATATGATCCCAACTTTGTTAAAAATGTGTGCATATATCATAAATGTGCATGTGTGTGTATGTGTCTATAGTACACGCATATATGTGTAAAATATATAATTTAGTAGTTTTTTAATTTTATTATATTTTTCTTTGTTGTTTCCATTTTCCTAAAGCATTATTGGTATTGCAATAAAAATGAAGTGGAGTTAATAAAATTTCAAAATTTTAGTTTAGAATATCCAGGGAAAAGCCACAATGCAATCATACCAATTTTTGATACTATTCCTTCACTGAACTAAGAGATTTGTTGGAAGAACATACTTGCAAAGAAAATGTTTTCAGAAAACAGGGGGCAATGTCTAGATAAAATCACCTCTGTCTGCCTGCCTGTCTCATTCACATCCACATTCTCATATTATCTAGCAACCCTATTTATGTATGTATCATAGGGGAAACTGCAAAGGGCAACTTTTAAAGAGGGTTTTAAAGTGTATAAATTGATAAAGTGCTAGCTCCTTATATCTTGATGAATTCTAAAATGTTTTTTGCACTTTCTCCTCATCTTTCTTGGGGATTCCTCCAAATGCTGATCTATAAATACATGAATAGTTTTTCCCATTGCAAGAATGGGTTGATGCAGAAACTAAACTTGAACAGAAATGTGGCAGCTTTGTTCTGAGCAATATATAGACTATATCATTAGACCCACTTCCTCCCCAATCAGTGGTTTTAATATATATTTCATTCAAGATTGATGAACTGTCTAAAGATGCAACATATGTATGCCTTCCGTTATTGATGAGTGTATTTGACTTACTTTTTTCAACCTCAGGTTTTAGTCGTTTGTTTTTGATGAGTATTTTTCTTTTGAGGTCATTCGGGGATGGCAAAGGTTTGCCTGGTTCCAGCTAGGGACAAACAGAAAAGGCTGATTGATGATAGTTTTACTTCTTCATTCTCTGTTGCAGACCAAAATGAGCATAAAGCCTGTGAGTTACACAACCAACATCCAGTAGATGGCAGTCAGCACAGCTTTATACTTCCATTGTACACCCCAAACTAGCCCACGCTCTGCCTTAGCTAAAGCTGCAAACTTGGCTCCCGAAAGGACTCTCAAGGTTCGCAGAGCTGCTCTCCTCTCCCCAGGCAGTGGGCTCCAACCTGCAGTGGAGCAGGATCCAGCTCGACCCCAGGCCTTGACCCTCTTTAAGTAGCTGGTAGACTACAAGCGGTCCTGGGGCCGGCTGGTGTTGCTAAGTGTAGTGTTGGGCTGTACCACAGGTCGGTCTGCTCAGCAGAGTGATCTACCCTCAGAGCTTAGGACTGTGGCTCTGTGGGCTCAAGAGAGAATCAGGAAGGAAGTGGTCCTAATGATTGAAATACAACCCCTACTATCGTTTCATTTGCTTGGCTTGACATCTTCAAAGGAGATGGTCCTTTATTTGATGACCTCTGATCACAAGCTGGAATCAAGATTGCTGGGATAAATATCAATAGCCTTATGGCAGAAAGCAAAGAGAAACTAAAGAGCCTCTTGATGAAGTTTAAAGAGGAGAGTGAAAAAGCTGGCTTAAAACTTAACATGCAAATAACTAAGATCACAGCATCCAGTCCCATGACTTCATGGCAAATAGAGGGGAAAAAAGTGGACATGGTGGCAGTTTTTATTTTCTTGGGCTCCAAAATCACTGCAGAGGCTGACTGCAGCCATGAAATTAAAAGACGCTTGCCCCTTGGAAGGAAAGCTATGACAAACCTAGACAGCATATTGGAAAGCAAAGACATCACTTTACCGACAGAGGTCTGTAGGGTCAAAGCTGTGACTTTTCCAGTAGTCAGATATGGATGTGAGAGTTGGTCCATAAAGAAAGTTGAGCAAGGAAGAATTAATACTTTCGAATTGTGGGGCTGGAGAACTCTTGAGAGTCCCTTGGACCAAAAGGAAATCAACCCAGTCGATCCTAAAGGAAATCAACCCTGAATATTCACTGGAAGGACTGATGCTGAAGCTGAAGCTCCAACACTTTGGCCAGGTGATACAAAGAGCCGACTCACTGGAAAAGACCCTAATGTTGGGAAAGACTAAGAGAAGGAGGAGAAGGGGGCAACAGAGCATGAGATGCTTGCATGGCATCATTGATTCAATGGACACGAGCAAATTCCAGGAGATAGCGAAGGAAGAGCAGCCTGGCGTGCTGCCGTCCACGGGGTCTCCAAGAGTCAAACGTGACTTAGCAACTGAACAACAACTGATCCACAGAACTGTCTTATCCATCCCCATTCGCTCCCCACCCCCCCACCATCCATCTATACAACTGCCAACCCTTCCACATGTCCACGCATTTTCCAAACGAACTTTTATACCATTGATACAGGCAAGGCGCTGTGCCCTCCTACATCCATTCTGTCTCTAAAGAAACACTTGGCTGAAATTCTGCTTCCTTTCGGAAGTCTGCCGTAACTGGTTCACACCCAGTGATCTCTCTTACACTTGGATATTGGCAATAAATATTCAACACATAATAGTCCATCTTCTTTTCAGTTATGGTTTTACATTTGTATCCTGTGCCCTGCTCCCAGGACTGAAAGTTCTGTAGTTCAGATCTTAGTCTCAATTATATTACAGACTTCCCAAAACTTTTCATGTACGTGCACATCACTTCACAAAAAATGCAGAGAACTTTCTGTAAAAGCAAGCACCTTAGTCCAACAAAGGAAATAAAATACACAAAGGACCAAGGTTAAAAATAAAATAAGTCAGGGCTGTTTCTTAGTTTAGGTTCCCTTAGAGTCAGTCTGGGACAAAGATGAAAGCACCAGTCATCTGTTTGGAAGGAAGCTCCAGGGAATCCCAACGGAGGAGGAGAAGAGTGAGAACAGGAAGACAGCCAGCCCTTCGGGGAGTGTTATCGAGCCCTGCGTGTGGGAGCGGGATCCCCCTGCGGAACCCGGGGGGCAGTGGGGCCCAGGTGCTCAGAGTGGAACCTCCTGAGGAGCGGTGAAGCACAGGGTAGACATGGTGATTCTCTGGCACCTCTGGCTTGACGTTCCCGCGTGGGCAGAGTTCCAGGGACCAGAGCATCCCCTGAGCCAGCAGGGGCAGGGGCGACAGGTGGAGATTAGGCTGCTAAGTGGGGAAGTGGGAAGCACTGCAGACTGTGGGCAGGGTGCCAGCCGCCATAGCTTTAGCAGGTGGTAAATATCCTTATATAGTTTTTTCAATTCCCACAGATGCACTTCTACAAAACTCATTGTTAAACTACCTGATGTGTTCCCATGGGGCACAGATGTCAGTCATGGTGATGTACAATTGCTGCCTACTGTTACCGTGTTTGGGTCTATAGTGGGGCAAAACACTTCACTACTGTCAAATGTTTCATACTTTCACTCCAGGAGTTTCTTGTTACTCCCAACATCTTAAACACAGAGAACCTTAACCACTTGGGGGGTGTGGATCTTTGTAAAAATCTGATGAACTTTCTCGAATGACTGTATACAGAAAAACAAGTTGTATGTAATTAGAATGAGCTCACAGACCCTGCAAAGCCTATCTATGGGGCACAGGTTACAAATTCTTTGTCTGATGAAGGAATTAGTAAGTTTAAAAAATGAAGCTCAAAAATGGGCATAACATATTTCTAAAATATATTAAGAGGACTTTTTTCTTCTCTTTTGGAGGTGGTGGGGAATAGTGGTTTGAGTTCCTTCTTTTTTTTCCCATAAGACTATAGGTAGTTACCACTTCACAAAAGAAACTGTTCAGTTATTCAAAAAGATGTGGAGCAGGGATAGGAAATGGGGATTAGCAAACAATACGGAGAGACAGGGTAGAATGAATCACTATACCTGCAGTGATTTTCAAAGGAGAGAATTACAGGATATTCCGATGTGACAAAGGCAGTTTCCTTGATGGCTTGAATAACATCCTTTAAAGACAAAGAGTGTTAATGAGAAACGAAAGAAAAAAATTAAAGCACCTGAAATCAGTTGGAGACTAATAATTTGAGCTTTTCAGAAAGTCAGTTCTGGCAATTCAAACCTGGAGAGCCCATTCACCGCTCCGTGCTGAGTCCCCTGTGGTTAGATGTAAGCACAGTTCATGGTTAAGTACACTGCTTTCAAAGTTATTGTTTACTTCTCCAAAATTAGGGTGCTAGGAACTGGTGTTTCACCTAAACAGCAGTGCAACTGCTTGCTCAATAATCTGTCACAATGGGCTCAGAGTTCACCATTCTCACTGAGGAGCCAGTGAACTTTCACCTTTCAGAGATTTTTGTAATGGACCCCTCTCCTCCTCTTGCCTTGAGGAAAAACACGTTGGTGAAACAGAAGCTTTTATTGAGTTTCCTTTGGGAACCAGACTTAGGCTACATCTCCTTCATTCTATGAAGACTCCTGTGAACTGATGTGATGTTTGCAATGTCTTTTGTTTTGTATTAGCCTGGTGAAAGTCGGGGGTCATGGGGTGAAGGTTCTCCTTGTTCAAGCAACATAAGAAGCTAAACAGGGACAAGGACACTCCTCTCTGAACCAAGAGCTCGGTCACTTGAAACAACTTTTCAGTGACTGAGCAAGTCCTCCCTGCCTGCCACTTTATACAGATGGCAGCTCTCTGCCTAGCTTCAGAAAGTCCAATTTCTCACCAACACTTCCACAACCAGAGCATCATATTTGGTAAAAATCCTCAAATTCTTACTGGTTTATAGTTGACCATGGGACAAGCCCCATCATTCTGTTAGTTGGGGAAGTATTTTATAGTAGTTATCTAGGGAAGTCCATTTGAAAGAATAACAACCTAGGCTATACAGTCTTGGAGTATTTTATGAAGCACTCTTACGGCTTACATGGTCCTTTAGCTATTTTTGCTTGAAGTTTCTTCCCAGGTAAACATGCCACAAGTTGCTTCCCAAGTGCCTTGACTGTCCACTTGAGTTGACCAAGAATCCCTCCTTTTAGAGAATCTTGGCTCTGCCTATGGGTTTTCTTTTGCTCATTTCTGAAATGAGGGGGAAGAGCCTTCTTTTCAGCTTAAGCTTCCTTATTAGCTCTTTAATTCTAGGAAAAGGACATTAACCCTTCCTGTCAGTTTGGTTGGCTCTGCAAACACATGGCTTCCCACTTGAACATAACCTTGGTACTTCTCAGGAAGCATAATCTTGAATTCATTGCTATTCAAAACTCGCCAACATCTTGGCTAAGAGAAATGATATGCACGGAGTGTCGTGGGTCCAGGGTCTGGGTGTTTGTTTTTAAGAAAACCTCCAATGATTTTCCACATGTTGGCAGAATTGAGAACCACTGATCCAGAAGCTGCAATAACTCTTCTGAGTTACAGGGGCCTGACAGAGGCTGATGTGCTTGACATGCTGTCCAACCGCAGAATTTCACTTTTTGATTTGTCTTTTGGCAGGACATCACTGGAGCATACTGAGGCATTTTCTAAGATATCAATCTTCAGATTTTACATAGAGATCACCAAAAGGCCATCATTGAAGTGCCTATTTGTAAAACTGTATACTACATTCTATGAGGATCTTGAAGGGTGCGGGGTGGTACACTTTTATCTGGGCTCAGTCCTGGGGACAGGGGCCTCTCAGCTGGCACAGTGGCAAAGAATCCACCTGCCACTGTGGGAGGTGTGTGTCCCATCCCTGATCTGGGAAGGTCCTCCGGAGAAGGAAACAGCAACCCACCCCAGGGACAGAGGAACCTGGACTGCCACAGTCCACAGGGTCGCAGAGAGTCAGATGCAACTAAACGTGCACACACACACTGGGAATAACGGTGCTTCTCTGGACCAACTACTCTGTGAAAGTGTTAGTTGCTCAGCAGGGTCTAACTTTTTGTGATCCCATGGACTGTGGCCTGCCAGGCTTCTCTGTCCATAGAATTTTCCATGCAAGAATGCTGGAGTGGGTTGCTATTCCCTTCTCCAGGGGATCTTCCCGACCCAGGGACCGAAACTATGCCTCCTGCACTGCAGGCAGATTCTTCACCATCTGAGCCACAGCCTTTTTAAACTACTCTGTAGCGTTTGACAAATCCTGCCAGCTATCATGCTTGCCTCCTTGCACGTGTGCACCTGCACGCGTGCTCAGTCATGTCCAACTCTTCAAGACCCCCTGGACTGTAGACCGCCAGGCTTCTCTGTCCATGCAATTCTCCAGGCAAGAACACTAGAGCAGATTGCCATTTCCTTCTCCTGGGGATCTTCCCCACCCAGGGATTGAAACCGAGTCCCACGTGTCTCCTTCATTGGCAGGAGGATTCTTTACCACTGAGCCACCGGGGAAGCCCTCTCTCCTTGCACTGAATTCAAAAAAGTTTGGAGCCCAATTTGTGGTATGGACAGTTTATAGGATTTCTTGACAGGGATTCATAAAACTCTAATCTCACTATCTTACCTTCTTATCTGTATGGGCACTATCTATTTTATTTTCTATATCCTATTTATCTTTTTATTCCACTTTGAAAGCCCTTCAGGAAAAATGCAAACCAAGCAAGCACAAAAATAGATAAGAACATGAAAGACTGTTTTTAAAGTAAGTGGAACAAAGAAGGTTCTCCCAGAGGAACCTCATTATATGGCACTGTCACCATTTGAAAGCAGAAAAAGCAGCATGAGGGAGATATTAAGTGGAGAAAATATTTTTCTTGACTTTTTCTGAAAAACTGGAAAAACGGAATATAAAGGTAAGATGCTTGAGAAAATGAATAATTTGTCTCTCCACTCAACCTCTCTATTTCCACCATAGTTTGGAAAGGTTATAGTGATATAATTTTAAAACTTACCTTGGAACTCTCCTACACTGTGGGAATATAAATTGGTGCAGACACTATGGAAAATTGTACAGAGGTTTCTTAAAAAGCTAAACACTGAGTTGCCATATGATCCAGCAATCCCATTCCTGGGTAAATATCCATGGAAAGCTCTAATTGGAAAAGACACATGCACCCCAGTGTTCACAGCAGCATTATTCACAATAATCAAGATGTGAAAGCAACCTAAATGTCCATCGGCAGTGAAATGGATAAGGAAAATATGGTACATATATACACAATAGAATACTACTCAGCCATAAAAAAGAATGAAATTGTACCATTTACAGTAAAATGGATGGACCTAGAGATTATCATACTAAGTGAAGAGTCTGAAAAAGAAAGACAAATACCACATGATACTACTTATATATGGGATTTAAAATATGATGCAAACAAATTTATTTATAAAACAGAAACAGACTCACAGACATGGAGAACAGACTTATGGTTACCATAGGGGAAAAGGAGTGGGGGAAGGCTAAATGGGGATTAGCAGATGTGAACTACTATATATAAACTAAACAGCAAGGTCCTACTATATGGCACAGGGAACTATATTCAGTATCTTGTAATAAACTAAAATAGAAAAGAATATGAATGAAAACACACACACACACACACACACACACATATAACTGAATTACTGTGCTATACACCAGAAACTAAAATAACACTGTAAATCAACCATACTTCAACAAAAAAGGAAACAAGCCCCAAAGTCAAAATCAAGCAAACAAAAACACTCACCTTAAAAAGGATATCTGTGCACATTGCTTTTCCATGAGTTATTATCGGTTCTTGGTCCTCACCTTTCCCATCCCAACAGTCAAGTTCAACACATCTAGAAATACAGTGATTTTACAGTATTGAACCTTTACAATAAAACAGTGTGAATACAAATGAAAAGAAAAGATATCAAAATAAGTTACTTTCTATAGAAGTAGAAAATTGCATGAGTGAAGTAATGTGATTATTTTGTGGAGGATACAGCTTAAAATAGCATCAGATTGGTGTCATCAAAAGCAGACTATTGTAGATTGAGAGACAGGAGATAGAACAAGCAGAGTGGTTCTGGATGAAACCTTAGCTGTGACAAAGCTGTGATCAAGAATGATTTAGGAACAACTAGGAAAATTTAGATATGGATTAGGGTTTAGAGGCTGTTAGAGAATACTGTAAAAATTTTATCATTGGGATGATGCTACTTCAGCCATAAATGCAAATATTCTAATTGTTTCAGTGACTCATATTCAAGTACTTAAAGTCTTTTAAAGTATTTATATATGTACAAAAATAGTGAGGTAAAAAATTATGTATTGATCATTGACAATCAGGAAAAATATCACAATATAACAACATTTCTTAATTTTCACTTTCAGCATCTTCACCATATTTTAAACCTCAAATATTTTCCAATTTCTATAAAATAAAAACCATTTCAAATAATATTTACTGTCAGAGAATAAAATTTTAGAACATTTAACATTAAGGAAAGCTATATTTGGGCTTCCCTGGGGGATCAGCAGTAAAGAATCCTCCTGTAATGCAGGAGACATGGGTTTGATCCCCGGGTCGGGAAGATCCCCTGGAGAAGGAAATGGCAACCCACTCCAGTATTCTTGCCTGGATAATCCCATGGATGGTGGAACCTGGTAGGCTACAGTCCATGGGGTTGCAAAGAGTTAGACATTACTGAG